TGTAGAATCATTTTACTTTTTTACATTGACATTTTAGAATATCTGACTAATTTTGTCGGATCACGACATATCCCTGTTTCTGTGGTAATCGAAGGCTAGAAAGTGTCCAAGTGGCCTAAAATTAATTACCTTCACCGGGACATGAATGTACAATCGAGCTTCCTGATGCTCAGTTTAGCGTCGAGTCTCAACCAACTCAACCTGTTCGTTATAAACTAATAAGAATTTGAAAAAACTTTTGTATCTTTTCTTTTCCCTTCCCGGCTGAATAAGCACAAGCACGGTTTTTGAAAATCAAGAAGTAGCAAAGATTTGAAGCACAAACTTGTTGGGAGGTTCATTGTGATTTATTTAGAATACACACAGAACCAAAGAGCCAAAGTGAGATTCCACTTAGTCGGCACGACTGAGCGGCCTCGTTGGACATAGACTGAAGCAATAATGGACTGAATTAGAGTACAAGCTTCCGGCCCATTAGTCTAATGGTGGTAGTGGTGAGGCTGAGGTGGCCCCGGAGGGTGATGGGGCAGCTGGTGCGGCGGAGGTGGCCCCGGTGGCGGCGGCGATTGCAGGGGTCCTGGTCCATGGTGGAGAGACCCCGGAGGCGGCGCGTGCGGGGGCGGCGGGCCGGCAGGACCGGGGTGGGGGTGATGAGGGTCGTGCGGGGGATGCATGTGGGGTATCTCTCCTTTTGAGTTTTCCCTCTTGTGGTTGGTTTTTGTATTCTTGGTGTGGCTAAGGCAATAGAAGAGGGTTGAGAATTTACAGTGCGGAGGCAGCAAGAATGGAACAACATCAATTATTGGTAGATACTTTCTCTTGTACCCAAAAAAAATGCTTGTATATCAAAATATGTTTTTCTAGGGAAACTAAATATTACATAAAAATAAAATAGACCCTTCTTTTGTGGAAAAAAAAAGCTGGACCGTGCATATGCTTGGAGATATAAATTTTCATTGATTTTTCCTCCGTTTCATATTCTGTTTTATGTGGCTATGCTTGTCCCTAAGGATAAGACAGTGAAACTAATTGGAAGTGCATCACAAGCCATTGTTGAGTACGTCGCATATGTCTCGGTAGTGTCGTATCCTTTGTGGCGGTTCTTCGTCTACTGGTCAATGCTCTGTTGGGTATTTCTGGGAGAAAATGATATAAATGATCCCGAACTTTTGTCAAATGTGTAACATGATTCATGAGCTTTTACTTTATTCAGTGTAGTCTCTGAATTTTGTCGCAATGTGCGATGTGGTCTCTAAACTTTTAATCTGTTCAATGCGATCGATATACCATATTCAATTTAGTCCCTAGACTATATGAAGTATTCAATACTATCCATGAACTTGAATTAATGAAATGACATTATCGAACATTTTCATACAGTTGATGGACTAAATTGAACATTTACCAAAAGTCCAAGGATTACATTGAACAAATCAAAAGTTCATGAATCACATCGCATATTGGGGTAAAGTTAATGGACCATCACATTAAACAAATTAAAAGTACTGAAATTACATTGCACATTAGGTCAAAGTTCATGGACCATTTGTGTCGTTATCCCTATTTCTTGTGATTTCATTTCGTTGGTCAAAAATTAGAATATTATGAGTCACAAAATTTAATTTTGACCTGATTGCGTGGAAATGGATTCGTATGAGATGTGGACCATCTGAATACCATTGCCCCCAAATCTTTTTGGTGTCACCTATTCATTTATATTGTCAAACCGTCCCAAGAATTAGCGGTCTATCTTTTCTCCTTTCCTCTTTACCCTCAATTCGTTTTTTTCCCACAAAAAGAGAAATGACACGTACAAGATTAGTGGTCTCTATTGGTGGAAGTGACCGTCCCTATCTCAACCACATCAAGAAATGTTAGAACTACATATACAAGTGCCAAGTTACGGTATTTTTTGCACATTCTTTTCTCGCGGATCATATGTGAAATTATACAATTAAGAATGTCATTTAAAAATCTCAAATATTGTCGTGGAATAAAGGGGAGCTTATACTTATGATCCTAAAAGGAATAAACATGTTTCGCTATCGTTCGAATCAATAGGATCAAATGTTTACAAGGAGAAACACATATGGACGAATCTTCAAAAGGGATACTTAAATGCTAACAATTTCGAGATGGGTCTTAACTTAAACATTAACCAATCATACCATTTTTGAGAGTAAAAAACCCAAACAAGTTATGGATGTAAGGATGCACATCAATCCATCCGGTGTTTACTGATACCCTCTGTAGAAAAGTGTTGAGTTATTCAATCCTTATATAGGGTTTTGTTCATTTAGAAGGTCCTTACAGGCATGAATGCATTGAAACTGGTTTACTGGCTCCTCTCCTGCTTGTCACCCGCAACATAGCTCCTTACAAGTCGAAGGGTATCGAGCGGGCTGCTGCTTTAAATGCAAGAGCTGACGAGCCTGATGAGCGTCTTGCCTCTGGACTTCCCGGAAGCTGGCAAGACTGGTTGAGCTTTCTTTGCCAGTTCCAGTTCCATCTTTCTGCACACTTACGTGGTGCGAAATACCGACCGATGCGACTATCTTCGAGCCTTTTTCATTGCTCACTTCTGAGAGAAATAGATCCTTAGATTCCAAGGGACTATGTTTAGCTCAGACTAAAGGATCCTTCAGATCTGTGATCAGTCTTTGGCATTCTTGATCACGGTATCCTCCAAAGGGTTTCCTTTCCACCAAAACCTGCATATCTCCCGCATCCCCGCCGTCGCCGAAAGCTTTTAATACGAGGAACAAGATTCATCCGCGCCATGTCGATGCCCTCGTCGATGTCCTTCTTCATCATCGGCGAGTCTTTTCTGATCATCATGTTTGGGGTCGCGTTATGATCACCGAAGAGGCTGTTCCAGAAGAGATGCGGCGCCCAGACAGACATGAAGAGTGCTTGGGTGAAGCTGATGACGACCAGCTTGTTGCTGTTGTTATATCTGAAAACGAAGCCTTCACTCCTTAGTGTTCATACAGACAAAAGTCACTGGACCCTAAAAAATTTAAGTATTGCCTAAGAAAACAAGGCAGCGATCTTCAACGTGCGTATTCAACTTCTATATTTACGTTGATGTTACTTACTTCTGTCATTTTCCGGTTTTGCATTGTATAATTGTAACAAAACATTTCATTTTCTTTCCATTTCTAGCTCCGGTGCGGTTCGATACATAGTATGGCCGCGGGCAGATACTCACATTAAGTTTTCCATTCTAACTTGCCGAGTGAGCAACCGTTTATTCTGAAAATGTAAAGTTCTTTTGAGTTCTAACTTTCTACCGGTGAGAAGAATTATTGGGACTCACGACACACAGAAAAGTAAGGGTGCGAATGGTAACCATTCTGCTCCAGAAATCAAATTCTTGCCAGAAATTGATTTCTGGAATTCTTGCCAGAAATTGATTTCTGGAGGAGAAATCTGTTTGGTAAAACATGACTAATTCTGCTTCAGAAATTGATTTCTGGAACAGAAATCTGTTTTAATTTGTTGATTTTTTTTGCACCTAAAAAAATTTAAATTTTACTCAAAGTGGGTAGCCACATGTATTATAAGCCATTCTGTAAAGTTTTGAAATTTTTGATTTTTTTAATTTTTTGGGCACCTAAAAAATTTAAATTTCACTCAAAGTGGGTGGCCACAAGTATTTTAAGCCATTTTGTGAAGTTTTGAATTTTTTTTTTTTTATTTTTGGGCACCTCAAAAAATTTAAATTTTACTCAAAGTGGGTGGCTTCTGAGATATTCTAAGCCATTCTGTGAAGTTTTGAAATTTTTTTATTATTTTTTATTTTTTTGGGCACCTCAAAAAATTTAAATTTCATTCAAAGTGGGTGGCCACGGGTATTTTAAGCTATTTTGTGAAGTTTTGAAAATTTTTATTTTTATTTTTTTTGGGCACCTCAAAAAATTTAAATTTCACTCAAAGTAAGTGGCCACAGGTATTTTAAGCCATTTTGTGAAGTTTTGAAATTTTTGATTTTTTTTGGGCACCTCAAAGAATTTAAATTTCACTCAAAGTGGGTGGCCACATGTGTTTTAAGCTATTCTGTGAAATTTTGAAATTTTTGATTTTTTTTTATTTTTAAAAAAAAAAATTCATCAAATTTCATATTTTCCCGAAATCTGACTTTTTTTTATTTTCTGGAAATTTTTATGAATTTTTCTAGAAATTTTCAATTTTTATGCATTTTCTGAAAAAAAAAATTGTGAGAAAATAGGGAGAATGCATTCCGGAATCAAGAAGCTACAAAAAGTAGCTTCTCTTTTTCTTGCCAAAAACTCATTCCGGAATCAAAAATGCATTCTGGAATCAAGTATTTTTAACAAACGCATTTTTATTCCAGAATGCAAAAATCGCTCCAGAATGCATTCCGGAAATTTTTTAACAAACGCCATTCTATTCCGGAATGCATTCCGGAACAGAATTTTTATTCCGGAATGCATTCCATGCGCACCCTAAAGAGCCATTGATTGGTGATTGGCAAGCAAGGAATAAAAGGGTCGAGACTTTCGCCACGCGTGACAAATGGCGTAGAAAATATTCCAAATAATTTCAACAAAAGCACATCGTCGTTAAGCGAGCGAGACACACCGCAAATTCAAACCGAAGAAATGACACTCCCCCTCGCGACAGTGTGCCGGTCACGTCAGGCCATTGAGTTATAATTTTGACATTCTCGAAGAACCGATCAGAGCCAAAAGAGACATATCGAGATAGAAAAAGTCTACAAAATGGCCGATAGGCGAGCCATCAGGACCCTCAGATCTGATACCAAATTTCGAGACGCTTTTTTAATTTCGTATTTTAAGGGCATTTAATAATTCTTTCCTTAAAGATGACGAAAGCAATGGAACCGAGTCCTCCCAACGACTCGTAGTTTATATGTCCGAAGACGAAAAGAAAAGTTGTCCTAAAGTCAACAAGGTCCCTCATTTCTCTCGTCTATATACAACGAAGACGACGAAGAAGACCAGGTCTTCCCTCTCTCTATCTCTCTCTCTCTCTCTTGCTCGCTCTCTCTCTCTCTAGGCGAAGCGGAAATGGGTGCGAGCAGCAGCCGGGCGAGGTCCGGCCCCTCGCCGTCGTCGCCGCCGCCGCAGCAGCAGCCGCAGGTCGGCCGCCGCGCCGGGCGGAGGAAGCTCTCGTCCCTCGTCTGTGGCTGCTCCCCTTCCCACGCTCCCGTGGAGGTAATCGCGATCGGCCTTCCCCCCCTCCTTTTTAGCTGTCGCTGGTCGCTTGTTTTGTCCGTCGTTTCTCTTCGCTGATGATCGGTTCTGTGTTCGAGTTTCCGAATCGCGCGATTTTGGGATTGCTTGAGGTTGAACGATGAAATCGGTCGGATCGTTGAGCTCTGAAAACCCGTTTCTTTGCTTTCCGAGAAATTAGGTTACCCGGTTCGATTTTCGTTTTGTCGATTTTGGGCTGGATAGTATCGTATCGGTTGCGCGGCTTTGCAAGTAAGAAATTGACCGGTAGATGCAGATTTGAGCATCGAGAGAAACCTAAAAGGAGCCTTTTTTACGTCTCTTACGAAGAGGGGAAAAAAGAAGCTGATGTTCCATATGCACGGATTCGAGCTCTGCTAAGCTCATAACTGTGTCGAAAGGATCTACCTAAATGTCTGAACTGTTAGGCCACACAAGTAGTATAATTCATTCTCTTTAAGCTACAAATAATAGGCCAAGTGGAACCTATCGGTACTCCTCCTCCCTTGCTAACTTGATGAATGATGGAGATAGACTTGTGCATGGAGGAGACGTTAAGAGAATTAAGTCAAACAAGAAACTCGCATGGGGCTAATCAACTCGAGTATGATAGAAGTTTACATTCAATGTAATTATCGGGCAAGCGTTCATATCTTAAAGCTCCAGCTTTTTAGTGCTTGCAACAGTAGCATCTTCCTTAAGTTCTGTTTCCACCACATACTGAGCAAAATGGGATAAGGCCAAACAGCCACATGTGATGCTCATGTGAGTTTGCCTTGCTCTTATTCGGGTGGTTGTGTTATTTTACTTGCTATCCATTTGTTAAAGAAAAGAGCATGAGGATCAATCATTGGTTTGGAGGGTGTGCACTGGTTTGGAGAGTTGGGGCGCTTTACTATGGTGTTGGGTCTCGTTGGTGTTTGAGATATGAGAACCTATTGTTTAGTTAGATGTCTGCTGAAGTCTAAGTGTCATGTCATGACTCAGATGACTAGTTGCAGCAATCTCAACCCATATTATAGCAGGGAATGCTGGTAAATATGTAAGTCACCAAGCAGAAGATCTAGCATGGCGTTCATGATAAGAAGCTTTTCTTACTTAACTTTACAAGTGACAGTATTTGGTAGTATGTTTTGTAATGGTCACGGAACTATGTTATACTGCATATGGGTTCTCAAGCTTGTCTTGATGCCTTGATGGAATCTAGGGAGCAACTGATTCGTGTGCTCTTTCCTTGTAGATGGAAGATTATCCAAATGAATGTTTGGTTAATTCTGCAGAACTTTGCGATTCCAGTGTTACCAAGTTTCAGGAACCCAATGAAGGGTACACGGTCTCCGTTGGAGAAATACAACCACTGCACTCTGCTACTGGACCCAGAGCCATGCCCACAAGTGAAGAAACATTGGATGAAGTAGAAGGACTAGGTGTTGGACCAAAAAGTGAGGATAATTGCCTGTTTGAAAGCAAGGAAATTATTCCTTCTTGTCGGGTAAGTGGATCTAGCGCTGACGATTTTAGTAGTGACAAAACTAGTACTGCCTCTAGTACTTCATTTATGGAACAACAATCTTCAGACATGGTCTCTGTAAGTGTACCATCTAACAAGGATGCAGTCGGTGATATTAATAATCCAGTGATGGAGGGTGTATCAGAGATCCTACCTGAGGTTACACATGCTAGTGGGTCATCTCATGAAAGACTCCAAGATGAGCATCGCCACACCGAGGCTACTGAGAATCAAGCGAGCGAACTTGCAGATGCCCATACTCATGACTCCGTGTCGCCCACTTCTGATTTTCCCTGGGCTTTCAACTCACAAGGAGATGAGTCTCATATGCAAATGACACCTTCAGCCTTTGAATTCCTTCTGTCTGCTGGAGAACAAGGCCAAGAAACTGAAGGCATAATTCATGTTGGTATTGTGAATATATCCTCCAGTGCATTGTCTGACAGTAGGAATGATACAGGTGATTGGGACACCAGAAGGAGTAGCAGAAGATTATTTTGGGATGTTTTTTCAAGAGACAGTTCTGTAGGGCGCAGTGATTCTTCTAGTATTGCATTGTCACGAGATGATCCTGATTATCTTGGATTTCATGAAAGATGGATGGGTGGTTTTAGAGGTGATTTGTCCGATCATTTCTTTGAGGGTGATTCACGATATCTTGCGGGTAGAATTCACAGGTCACATCATCGACGTCGTCGCCCAAGATCTGAGGTAATTGATTCACATTTTTTGTGAGTGTTGTGTCATGCTTTTGTCCATTATTTTCAAGAACCTTGAGTATTGTATAACGTAAGTAGGATTGAGCTTCTGGCTTTGTGCATTGGTAGATGAGCATCATTTACCTTTCATAAGTCCATTGTATGAGGTTTCTTTGGTAACTCTGCTGATTGTTTTGCTGCTTCTTAAGTTTAATAATTGCAGCCCCGTGGGCTTTTTGTGTTATGATGCAGTATCTTTTTTCTTCGTAAATAAGTTGCTTGAACTCATAAGGGTAAGTGTCCTCATCTTTTTGTCAACTATTTGCAGATCTGGGACAGACTTCGTTATGGCCTCAGTGAGAATGGTGGGCGAACTGCTTTCTGCCCTTCAGGGCTCCACCCTGATGGAATGTGCTCATGTGATTCATTTTCTGTGTCTGAGTCCAGTACTCATTCAAGCATATCACGCATAGTCATGCTTGCAGAAGCTTTATTCGAGGTTCTATGTCAAATCAGTTTTCCTTTATTTCACTTCTATGTGCTCTATTCTGTACTAGATTTACAGCAAAATTACTTTTGTTTTTGCTTCAGTTTAATTTTCTGTACTTCTTGTTTAGCATTTTACTCACTGTTTCGTGGGGAAAATGTGGTTTGGTATTTTATCCTAACTGTTCGTGATAGGAAGGTCTACAGACTGCAACAAATAATAACAGAAGATTGATCATAGAAATTGATAGCAGATCAGGCAAAGATATAATGCTCACTAGTATTCAACCTGGTGATATCTTTTCGTTTGCACTATAATTCCACGTGGTTGCGTTTGTCTGATAGCTATGTCTTATTCTACCTGTAATAGTTCTTTGAACTGCTTATTTGGCTCTTTCAATAGCACCAGTTCAGTCAAATTGTTTATTCAGATGGCCTTATGATGCTAAATGTTGAAAGTTGTGATGCATGCATCCATTGATCATTTAGAAAAGCACCTGCTTATACAGCTTGATGTACTTTATTTTCTCTTCATTGGGCAGCACTTGTTTATGTTGATGGTTTCTTCACACTGGATGGTACAATTAGAGCACCGAAGTTACTTTACAATGTGACTATGGGAAACAGTAGTTCTGCCTAGTTTGCTGAACAAAAGTATTACCGTTTCCCTTTTGCTCTTCTACTTTGTGGATTTGGATGTGATTATTCTGTTCGAACTGTGTACATTGTAGTCAAGATGTTATGTCTTTTTTCTTTTTTTTTGAGAGTTGTAAATTAACATTTTTGCTTATTGTTGCACAATGGTATGATTGGTGACTCTAGTCTTGGTCAATGTTTTCTCCAGCTGGGTAGTCTTTGCAAATGTTTTGAAGATTTGATTCTAGTTTAATATCTCACTTATATTCCTGGCTTACAGGTATTGGACGAAATTCATCGCCAACCAATACCCCTTTCCTTGTCAGCGACCTCACCGCCAGCCCCAGAATCAGTTGTTGACTCTTTTCCACTCAAAAATTACAAAAGAATCACCAATGCTGAGGAAGGAGAGAATGCTGAACAGTATGTTACTGTCAACTAAGTCTGCTATATGTTTCACATATTTGTCTGCTTATATTGATATGTGCACTTTCATGCTGATTATGGGTAGCCCAGAGTAATTAGCTAGTCAATGTGACAAAAACAGTCAAGTTAATAGTGAGATGAGTTGGTGTTGCATTTTTGTGGAGTAAATTGCCCTCAGGGTATGTTACTGTCAACTAAGTCTGCTATATGTTTCACATTTTTGTCTGCTTATGTTGATATGTGCACTTTCATGCTGATTATGGGTAGCCCAGAGTAATTAGCTAATCCATGTGACAAAAGCAGTAAGTTAATAGTGAGATAAGTTAGTGTTGCATTTTTGTGGAGTAAATTGCCCTCAGGGTTTTTATGGGACGGAGGGAGGGAGGGTTGCAATTGTTAGCCAGATCCCTGTACCAGAGTTGGGGCGCCAAGGCCTCATGTGGTGAGGTGTCAGCATCCTCTGACTTGCTCTAGCAGGGAGGGCACAATCCTCTCATTTCCCCCTAGACAATTGCGCTCAACACCACATGTTGGACAAACTCAAAAAGAGCAAATCGCAATTGTTAGCCAGATCCCTGTACCAGAGTTGGGGCGCCAAGGCCGCATGTGGTGAGGTGTCAGCATCCTCTGACTTGCTCTAGCAGGGAGGGCACAATTCTCTCATTTCCCCCTAGACAATTGCACTCAACACCACATGTTGGACAAACTCAAAAAGAGAAAATACCGTATAATTAGGCACGGAAGTTTTCTGTGGAAAGTTGTCTAGCAAACAGCCAAAGTGCAACAGCTGAAAGGATTTGCAAAAATCTGTGCATCTGCAATGAGAAAGTGTGGGTCATGGGAAAATTACTCTTTGCATCCCATACTATAAGCATGATCATAATTTGTGTACCGTGTTTGAAAAACTGCAGTTACTCATTAGCAAATAATTTTGCTTTCTCCATTAGTTTAACCATTAAATTGCATTTTACGCACATATACTAGCATGCTGGACACTTGAAAGCATCTGTGGATCAGAGGAACAAAGAGAAATCACACAAAAAGCTTTTCAGAGAGAGAGAGAGAGAGGGAGACATAGAGAATCAGCTGGTTTCGTTTAATATAATCGATATTTATACGAGAGATTTTGTTAATGGGTGTCCTGGGGAGCTTGTTAAGTATCAAATTAAGAACAGTTTGCTATTTCCAATGCAATGATGTCTGGCTTATGTTGTGTGTGATCAGTGTATTAGAAATCAAAATATTTCCTTTTTGAGTATGGTTAACAAATGTTCCATGGGGAATAGTTTACAAGACCCTCATGAGAGAAATTGCTTCCTCGGTCACAATAGCATTTAGGCATTAAGAGGTCATGAAATTGAATAGAGGATGCAGATGTTAGCTAGAATACACATTCCGTGGATCCAACCCGTACTTTTGAATATACTTGGTGTGGAATACTATTAATTGAAATTTGTATGCTGATAGGTGCTATATTTGCTTGGCTGAGTATGAGGAAGGAGACAAGATCAGGGTTCTTCCATGCCACCATGAGTATCATGTGGCATGTGTTGATAAATGGCTAAAAGAGATACACGGGTATTGTGCTACCATTATTTTTTTCAGATGTTCTCTCCTTTATCGATTAACTCTCTGGATTATTTTTCTATAGATGAAATGGAGAATTGTTGTTTCATCAACCATATCTTTGTCACGATTTCGATTCATCTAATTCTGTCTTTTTCTTGTTTTCTTTTTGGTTCTCTCCAGAATATGCCCACTTTGTCGAGGTGATGTTCGCGAAGGTTTCAGTGAATGTCCTATGTCCAATGCTGAAATATCTTCCCTTTAATGATCTTTCTACATACACATGAATGTAAATAGGGATCACCATCTACTCATAAAATGTCTTTACAGCTTATAAAATCATCTATATCTTACTTTTATATATCTGAAATCTATATTTAGCAAATAGATGGAAAGATCAAATTATGCAAGTATCATGGTTTCGTTGCGATGCAGTTTTGCTGATGATGAAGCAATTCTGTAGTTGGTGTTAATCTATTATTTACATTGTTACTCTGAGCTCATGTAAGTCAAACATCACCTGACCCCAAAGACTTTTGATGTCTGTTGAAGCAAATCCATCGTAAGTGGAATTGTCATTTTGGTGAGGCGTCGTCTGTAAAGTTGGCAAATGAATTAATGTTGCTTCAAGACTTACATGAGCTCAGAGTAACAATGTAAATACTAGATTAACATTAATTCATTTGCCAACTTTACAGACGACTTTTGATGTCTGTTGAAGCAAATCCATCGTAAGTGGAATTGTCATTTTGGTGGGGCGTCGTCTGTAAAGTTGGCAAATGAATTAATGTTGCTTCAAGGAAATTACCTGACTTCTAGGTGCTATGGCACTGGATGCATGGATATACTGACTTGAAGCAAGTTCCTAATATCTTACAAAATATTTGAGGGTTATGCTGTGCATGCTGATAGCATTCCAGGTAAGAAGCTTGAACTTGGGAGGAGCTTATTCCTCTTTTCTGAATAATTCTACTTGGATTTCAGATTTTCTTTCCCCCTTTGGCCTGAAAACTACTGTGAATTGCCCAAAAACAAAAAAAAAAACTGTGAATTGATTGAGTCATTTCATGTGAAAAAAAAAAAAAAAGGAAGCAGTAAATTTTTCTTTGGTGCCGGTGGAAGATTTTTAAACTGTTGTCAGGTTTACAAGGCAATGCCCTTGCTGCTTTGGAGATTGGGTCTGAACATGAGTATTATGATGCGAATGCAGCCACACCAGTTTGGGCACTGTCTGCTTTGTGCCTGAACATGTAGGCCAATGTGACTCGACTAAATACCATTTCTTCTTGCAAATGCTGATGATGTCTTATGATTTTGCGGAAAATGGCGTTTCCCGGGTCTGTTCCTAGGTTGGTCAAAATTGGGTGTTTACGAAGAGGGTGAAGAGTGTTTCTTTTTTATTTAGGCATGTTAACATGGTTATGATGTATCAAGTAAATGGTATCTTAGAGTTACACATTGCTAGAAGTGATTGCGCTGTCCGTGGATTTTACACACAAAAATAAATCACAGTTGCTCGCGCAGATTTTCAATGTTTTTCGGGATGTCAAGATTTGACCTTGATACAATGGATAGCTGTTAGATGTTCCTGGAGCATTGGACCTAATGTAGGGGATGTATTGCTTCATGATATCAAGCCATGAAAATGAGTCAGACCGTCAAGTATAGTCATATCAATTTCAGGTTAGCCGTGCTCGTGTCGTGCTGGATTTGGATCTTGGCCGGGAGATGCGTATCGCGCGCTCGTTTCCGAGTCAGTGCTGTGGTGTCATTGGTAACCCTGGCATCGCCATGGTGGAACGTGAAAGGTAAGGAAAGCCAAATGATGACTCTTGTACTCTAGCTTTGATCAAAGTTAGCGTGATGTATGGCGACGTTACAAATAAACTGACAAGACGAGAGTTTTCCCTCTGTCCCATCCACACTTGGGTGATGGAAAAAGATGGCGATAAAGGCGAAAGAAACGTAAAGACAAAGTGCGATTTCACTGTCTGAAGTTATCGCCGGGTTAGCTAGGAACGGTGGAGAGTGCAAGGTGGAACGTAGCTATGATTTCAAACCTCAAAGACTTCAATTATGAGAGGACGAGTTAGAAGGCGATTGGCTCGAGATCTTGGTGCACAAAACCTGCTTTTCTCCAATAATTGGGGCTCGCAGAAAGAAGCGCCACCATGGTAGTGATGTGGGTTTAGGGAAGGACAACGACGTTCTCTTCTAATCATTCTGCTGCTTAGTGCTTTGCTCTTGTTGAGATTTTCTTTTCTTGGGGGGCTCTTCCATGTTATCGGAAAGACCCATCTAAGGCAACATCTTTATCTTGTGATAGAAAGCTTAGTCCTTGGTGGTCCTCTCTCCATTTAGGTCTAGAAGATAGGGGGGCCCGAAATCGAACCCGCACTTAGTAAGCGCCTTAGTAATCCGACAGCGATATCCGATGAACTGAGTGTAGGAAACCTTTGAGGTTTTGTCGTCATTGCGGATTTGATGGAATATGATATTATAGAGAAGAAGGAAATCGTTCGCGCTCATTACGTCCAATTCTTTATTTGGGCAGAGACTAGACATGAGGGTGTATTATAATAGGTGCAACCATCTCCCATGCATAATCATTCCTTCCTTGGGTAAACAAATCGATTAGGGTAGACTAATTATTCGAAGATTCACTTGACATCTATACGTAGCGCTTCTACAAACTTTAGCCATATACATAAGACCGCGATTTTCGTTTTATATGGTCGATCGCAATCCTACACGAGTTACCTAGCTCTTATCGAGCGAACGACCGTTCCTTTTAAGTTCAACACCGTGTCCCCGTTAGTCGTTGATGGAGGATCCACCAAAATACTGTATATAAAACGTTACCGAGCGTAATAGGCTACAAAAGTGGCGTGATTGACAAACGCCCTTATCGCTTAGGGATTAGGCAAACCAAAGCTAGTCATTCAATTTGACCTCTGTAATCGAATCAAGCCAAAACTCTTAACTTCTTCGGGCGAGAACAAGTACAGGAGCCTGCTGTTAATGTAGTGAGTGAATTTGGCCTGCTTTACGTTTTTCGAATGCTATAACGATATTAAAAATGTCAAAAGTTTCGTACGGCGCACACTTTAGTGTCGAAAGTTTTCGCCGGCTCATTAAGTGATAAATCAGAGAAAAAATGATCGGTTAAGTGTCTCTGGCAAGAAATTCTGACAAAAAATAAGAAGTTTAATTTGACTTAGCATTTTTATATTAAAAACAAGTTCACGTGGACCTCCTAAACGATGTTGCACAAAAGGACGTGACTGGCTAGCTTTAAAACAATATCACACGAAGCCCAAGCCAAAAAACGACGTTGCACCAGCTTCTCTAAATTTTGTCGCGCTGTGATGCTTGCGTTTTGTCCTCTCTCCCTCTCGCTATCGTTCGGTCACCGTCGCCGTTGCCGTCGGTCGCTCGCTCGCTCGCATGCCATCTCTATCGCTCTCACTCGGTCACTCACTCAAGGTTTGTCATCCTCTCTCACTCGCTCAATTGGCTGGGAAAATTAGGGTTGGAGGGAAAATTTAGGGCTCGTCGAAACGAATTTGAGCCGCTCGTCATGCTCTTGCTCTCCATTTGTAAGATTAAGCCTCGGGCGAGGGTCGACCTCGCCGGGGGCTCGAGCTCGCTAGATCCTGACGAGGTTGATCCTTGTCTATGGTCAATCGCTAGCCATCGCAGAGGCTCGGCGATTAGTGGGGAAGGAGGAAAAAGAAAAGAAAGAAAATTAACTTAAATTAAAAAATAATTAAAAATTTTGATTTTTTTTATTATAAAAATTATCCATGTCAGCGTCGGACGTGTCCACGTCATTAATTTCCTGCCAAAATTGGTTGAAAGGAATAAATTGGCAAATTGTCAAAAAGTTTAGGACTCAATCGGCACAATTAAAATGTTTATAACCGAATTAAAAAACATATGCAATAGATTTAAAGCTTTTTCGATAATTTTTCCTTAAACTTTTTGGAACGTACTGGATGTTGAATACGAACACGATTAGCAGGGTCCAGAAAACGATTGCTTTCTGCGAGACCCGGTCAGCACGATGCATCGACAACGCCACAAACTCGCTCCATTCTCGACTTTTCCTCGATTCCTTAGCGAGAGGGCAACAAAAGACGAGGAATCTTTTCTCTGCGGGAACAAAACATCGTACGAGGGAAAAGATTCCTCAATGAAAGGGGGAGAATACACGAGAAACTCATTATCGTGCAGAAGGTATCAGAAACGAGTGACCCCATCCATTATGTAATTGACAATCGCGCACTCTTCCTTACCTTCGAGATAAGATGTAGATTAGACGTGCTCTCCATTCTCTTGTTTTGTTTATGGAAAAACGCGTTGACTGGGCAGATGCGCAGAAAACATTTTGATGAATTGGTCATCACGAATGGTATCTTGTACATTAAGTTAAAGTTTTCATGCGTCAAGGTAGGAGATTTCTTCTCACTACAAACTCAAGTGTTCGTGAACATACAATGGCTCCCTGCTATCTAAACTCACGGGTGCACCTCAATGGTTTTTTGCGCGGTTGTAAATTTCTGAGTGCCAAAATACATGCATTTTGATTTAGACCATGTTGGCTAGATTGCCCACGTTATCAAAGTTATCATCTCCATCATTGATTATTGTGATGTGATAAACTTAATCCAGCAATTAGTATAAATTAACCAACCCCACATCGCCTTTACCGCCAACCCGCCGCCGTCGCCTCTGCCACCCTCCGATGCAAATAGACGTTAGGGGGCGACAGTAGAAAAGTGGGTGGAGATGATGGTGGTAGTGACGACGGCAGAGAAAGTGGGGATCCGACGGCGATGCAGCGGCGAAAGATGGTGGCGGGCGGGAGGCGGGCGGCTTTTATTATCCTTGTGTAGTGACAAAACTGATATCACGCGCAATTCTAGTTTATTCTACTTTTGTGAAGTATGTACAACATCATCTGAGCTTTGTGCCACTCTGCAAACAAATCCATCATAAAGTTCACCCATGATTACATGCCAATATCATTCGGTAAACAGATTCAGCAATGCTTTTCTGAGCACACGCAGCAATTGTATCCAGCAAAGTAAGAACACACATCTATCATATCTCTCGCGGCCCCCTCTTCTGGGGGGTCGCTTCAATGGTGTCATGAAGAGACAGCCATTCTGCAACAGGGGCATTGAGAGTGGCTCTCAAGCCAAGGGACCAAGCACCTGGAGTGGAACCGGTGAGTGCACGGTAGGTGTATCAGGGTCTCGCCGGCCCTGAACGAGTCCAGGCAGACGGCGCACTCCTCCTGGTCCGTGGCCTTCCAGCTCAGCTTGCCCCAGCTGAACCTCTTTGTCCCACCACCCTTCTTCAGTCCATTCCCAGGGACCACCTCTCTTCTCAACTGAGTATCTCCCTCCTGTTCTCTGGTCCTTCTACCATCTGCATTTGATCTGGCAATTCCCACACGCCAGACACAACGACCATAGGATTAGAAACTGAACAAGGATAATTGAATAGAACATTTGAGGAGCTGCCCAAAAATATGGCGATGAAAGCTGATTCAAGAAATGGGAAGTTGTTCCTCATAGTTAGGCTAACTACCATGAACATGGAACTTCGAGAATTACTAGAAAACTTCAATTTTGCCGAGGTGTGTCTGTCCAAAACCTGAAGTTCTTTTACATTTTTACGTGACCAAAATCCATCAAGAAACCCACAACAGAACCAAACCGATTCGGGCTTTTCAGTTCGCTAAAACTCAAAGAAGCAAATGTGCGGGCGTGCATAGGATGGAGGATAATCCACATTTCTCACCTTCTGCACTCTGATTTGATCCTCTGTGTCCTGAGCTTCTCATCGAGCCTCTCCTTGGCCTCTCTCGCCACTCCTCCAAGCTTCTCATCTTCGCAGCCGCGGTTCATCACGCCCCTCTGCTGAATTTTCACGCAACAGCCCAATGAATCAGAGTCACTGAAGCAAACACGAGGACAGGAGACAAAACAGAACACTCTCAAAAGGGGTCATTACAAAATAGGAGCTTGAGCTGTGATGGTGAGGCTCGTGGCTTCTTGAATGCAAGGACAGAGAACACCGCCTGACCGAGCCGTAAGCCGCCGTGGGCGGCGGATCTGACCAAGCCCCTCCGCTCTGGTGGAGCCTCCTCCTCCGGGCACATTCAACTCCAGGAAGCATTCCAGCCATTTTTCAACCAACTGCTTCCCTGATTTCTTGTTTCTTTTGGGCTCTGCTCGCAAGAAATCAAGAAAGTAGGACAAGAAAACCAAAGAAAAAGAAGCCGGGTGGTGAAAGAAAGAATCGCACGCGTCCCCCAAAAGGGTGCAGGCTCACACGGGAATTCCTCAGATCTAAGGAAGGAAACAGAGGAGGAACAGAACCCAAAGAAAGACCAAAGATCTTTCAACAGAGAAGATGGGGAGGTTGCAAGTAGCAATCAAGACATTGGGAGGGCGCCTCTCACGCACAAATCTGTCAAAGGAGCAAGAAGATGTTGGGGGCAAGTGGCCGACAGGAGGATTCAATCATTTTCCTTTCGGATGCTCTGTCATTGTTGTATAGTGAACAAGAGAGCGGAAGAGAAAGAGAAAGAGAAGGGAGAAGGAGGGGAAGTTTCGCGGCAGGTCACAAGAAACCACGAGCGCAACTTCCGACAGTCGTCGGTCCACCACCGCCACCAAAGCCCGGCCTGACCACGCAGCCGGCGCACCACCTGCTAGGTCCGGCCACGTGGCTTTGCCTATCGGTCTCTCTCTCTCTCTCCCTCTCTCCCCCTCCCCTCTCCCGCAATCCTTACCACGAGATTAACATCTTGTGACCGGTCGATCACTGTATCTATGTGACACGCCTTTTGTCTAACGTGATATTTGAATTTTGAAAACACTCATTTCGCCGTACGTTATAGTGAAATTAAAACCAGACTTTGACAATATTCATTACGAGTTCGTGGTAAATCATGATGAACCATATTAAGCAAATGACCAAATTGTGAATTCCGAAATACATCGAATTTGAAATCGCGATTTCTTAAAAGCTCCGTATTTTCCAAACTTGAATATTTCTTATCTTTAATAAATTGAGACTTTGGAACGAAAAGAATCACATTGGATTATGGAATGATAACCAACAAAGTTAGTTAATTTCAAGAAAGCAAAAGTTAATCCGATGAGGACTGGAAGTGCTGTCAATCGATGTTACTAGCATCTGACGTAATTCTTGTACTTACTTATTCTCTTTGACATGTCAAATCAATTATAGTTTTAAAACTATAACGGGTTTCTTTAAATACAATTAATGGACTCATTAACTGTCGAAGTTGGACCTTCCCGATTTATTTCCTATTAGTCGAGATTATTACCTTATCATATGTTGCAAGCGCAATTGAATTAGCTTTAATAGCTTCCCCAGAAGCTAACATAACAAATATGGGTAATGCCATGGGTAATTCATGAACTTTTGCTCGGTGTTTAGTGTAATTTCTAAATTTTGTTTTTAATTAATTTAATCTCTGAATTTTTTGAATTTGGTTCAATGTCGTCCTTGCACAAATGTTGCATGGGATTGACGACCGGTGCTCAGTTCATCAACCCTTCCATGGTTCACTCTCCTCTTAGTCTTCTACTTTTAAAGAAAATTTCAATTTTTTTTTTCGAATAGGAGAAATCCAATCCGACCTTTTCCCACCTCTTAGAAGGGATAATTATATTTGAACTTTATTTAGGCTAGGGGTGAGCAAAAGAATTGGATCGAATTGGGAACTGGATCAAATCGAGCAGTTCTAGGTTCCTCAAATTTGGAACTAGTGAAAATCAATCCAATGTCCAATTCCCAGCGTGGGCCTACCTACCCGGATCGGACCGAACCAATTTTTTTTAATTCTTATTATTCCAAATTTCCAAAATCCTAATTTCCATTTTCTTTTCGCTCAGACTTAGTTAACACGCTCGTTGCTCACTCCTCCCATTTTCACTTCTCTCGGTCTCAGTCACGCAGTGCTCACACCTCCCTCGCGGCTCAACACCTCTTGGACTTGGTTTTTGATGATCGTTATAGTTTTGTTCGTGAAGATTATCAATATGCTGAGCTTATTACAAGCTTGTTCTATTAATATTACTCGTGCAGTAGTTGAGACTATGCAACAACATTTATGGTCTTGCAATAAAAAGGAAAAAAAAGGTCAGGGAGATACAGCCGGGTCCAGATCCCGGTGGGCTAGTTCTCGATTTCTAATTTCAGGGTAGGAACTAGCCCACCCTAGAATCGATCACCATAATTTGGGCTATGCTCAAACATGGGCAATGCTAGACATATTAAGAAATTTTACTAAAACTCTCATATTAAATGATGTGTCCCTTTTTTAATGGGTATTGAAGCAAGTGGTGCCCATGTATTGAATGATCAATGTCCAATCAAATACCCGACACTTCATTTAGTAGGAAAACTTTAGTATATCTAGCATTTCTTGTCCGGGCCATCATGTCCGAAGACGACCCTTAATGCCAAAACGTAATGTGAAAAAATCAACCCCTATAATTAAAATACGAGATAGAAATAATAAGGTACGGTATAAAAAGGGGTATATACGGTCATTGCCTGAAAGTGCGAAAACATCTATGTAAATGTGATGGCAGCTAAAAAAAGATATGAGCATGATTTCACCGAACGTTTGTTTCGAAAAAAATATTGCAAAAAATTTATGAATTATATGCTTATCTATACTCTAATCAACCCCAAAAAATAAAATAAATAAAATAAAAGAAGGTATTGGTAATGGTATGTAGTCAAGAGATCAACAGATGATATGTCTATTCATTATTAATTCGATGAAATGCCACAAAAATTTGTATCTAAAACAAACATTCAACATGTTATCCAATAACATCCGGATATATATAATCAAATTAATAATAAAAATCAAGTGTTTTTATCTTGGGTGGTATATATCTCAAACAATACTTCTCTTGTACTTCCAATTTGTTTCTCTACTTATTCTGTGATTATTTATAGATTATTAGGATAATGACACAAATAGTTCCTGAACTTTGGCCTAATGTGCAATTTTGTCCTTGAACTTTTAATTTGTTCAATGTAGTCCATGAACTTTAGCCTAATATTCAATTTGATCCCTGAACTTTTAATCTGTTCAATGTGGTCCCTGGACTTTAAGTACATATTCAGTTTAGTTCCTGAACTATATGAAAATGTTTAATGTAATCCCTAAACTTGAATTAATAGAAGGACTACATTGAATATTTGATGTAGTTTAGGGACTAAATTGAACACGTACTAAAAGTCTACATTGAACATATTAAAAGTTCGGGGACCAAATTGAACATTAAGCTAAAGTTTAGGGACTACATTGAACAAATTAAAAGTTTAGGGACTAAATTACACATTGGACAAAAATTCAGGGATTGTTTGTGTCATTTTTCCTATATTATTTAAGCCTAGACATGGCCACGGGCCGATTTCGGCCTGGAACCAACCCGGGTCAAACCCGGGACAGGCCTGTTAACCGGCCCGTGGCCTACGGGCCCGGTTCCGGGCCCGATTCCAAAAAAAAAAAAACTGCAGTAGGGCCTGCAGAGGAAAAAAAAAAACTGCAGTTGGGCCGGCTACAGACGTGCAAGACTTGCTGCTTTTTTATTTATTTATTTTTTCGGCCGATTCTGAACCGGCCCGGAACCGGCCGGTTCCGAACCGTGGCCATGTCTATTTAAGCCCACCAAAACCCAAGAGAAAACGGTCGTATACTAATTTAAATTGCACATTCGGCTAAATTTGAAGGAACACATCGAACAAATTAAAAATTCGGGGGCGATACTGCATACTGGGCTAAAGTTCATGGATCATTCGTGTGTCATTTTCTCTTTGATGAATATTTATAGATTATAAAAGCCCACCAAAGCCCGAGAGAAAATGAGCGGGCTCGGGCTTGGGCTCGGGCTCGGGGCTCCGACCCGTCCAATGATGACCTCCAATTCAAATTAATCACCTTTACACGAAGCTTAGGGTTCAGTCACGAGCTGCTGCTGCTGCTTCTTCGTCTTCTTTGTCTTCTTGCTGTGTTAGGGTTTTTGAGCGAGAGAGAGAGAGACAGGAGCCATGAGCAGGAGCTTGGGGATCCCGGTGAAGCTGCTGCACGAGGCATCGGGCCACATCGTCACGGTGGAGCTCAAGAGCGGGGAGCTCTACCGGGGGAGCATGCTCGAGTGCGAGGACAACTGGAATTGCCAGCTCGAGAACATCACCTACACCGCCAAGGTTACCTCCCCCTCCCCCCCTCCCCTCCCCTATCATTTCTTGCCTATCAGAGCCGCTTTCGCGCGTCGCGATACATTGCTAGATCAGTCCGGCTGCTCTTTTCTTCTTCTTTTTTTTTGAAAAAAGCCTAGATTTTGTTGGTTCGTCTGCTGTGGAAGGTAGCTTACTCGTCGTCGCCGCCGCTCGTTTTGCTGATTGCGCTGTTGCGATTGTTTGGAAAAAAAAAGAAGAAGAGTACTTGGGTTTGTGTAGCAGAAAATGAAGCCAGAGAGCTTGACCTGGCCAAATTGATTCATTCGATGTGCGCATTCCGTATTCTTTTGAAAGCTACCTTAGTTTCTTTTTAACGAGGTGGTCTTATGTTTGGCGAATGAGGGTGATAATGGTCCTCATATTGGATTAAAGTATTTACAGAACGTTATCTAAAGCTGAGAGAATGGTTTGTTGATTGGTGATCCTTCTTGTCTGCCTCCCTGCACCTGTTATTGGTTACTAGAGTTGTTCTTTCATTTACTGAACTCTTGCGGCGCTTAGCCTAGATAAGGTCGGTTGAGTTCCATTCGTGTTTCCGATGCATGCCCGGGTCTGAACTCTCTTGGTTGGGAGTCAAAAGTCATTTTTCTTTACCACTCTTTTCCTTTTTAAGAAGGCCCTGGTATTGTAAATTAAAAAAAAACCGAACTTTTCGAGGGCAGAGCCTCATATTGTGTTTCACAATTTGCTGATCTTTTCTCCTGTTGCGTGCCTGTGTATCAACAATGCTATGAGTGGCACCTGGCAACTAAAATTTTCCGTGGGCAGTGCTTTTAGATGTTTAGAAAAGAGTGATTCAACTGCTTGGGACTTGTGAGCATATCATGTTGATCTGATAGTTTTGGGCTCAATAGAGTAACACAATCTGACGTCACGCGACAGTTTGATGTATTGTATAATTAAATGACTTTCCAAGCAAACGAATAGAAAAGTTAGATTAGTTTATGGCCAATGAGTAATGATGTATTGTATACATTGAAATATGACTAGACACAAATCTACTTTGGTTTACACTTGGGATGGCAATTCTTGATATGTCACGAGCAAAAGTTGCTCGAACATGATGCCGACTAAATTTAAAATTGATGCGAGTTGATATATTTTACCCATTTGCAATGTAAAGTACATTGTAAATGCATGGAAATTTCTTTATGTTGGCTATAACACACGGAAAAGTTACTTGGAAAGTTCAGAAAAATCCAATCGAACGAATCAAATTGAATAACCACGAAGTTTTGGTAGAGTTATAGTAGTATCGTATTTCACATTGGTGGGAGTGCTCTAGGTTTTTATTCATCCAGGTAGGCTTCACTAGGCTTTGAACCAAACTTGGTTATAATGATACATGCACTACTTGATATTTATCTTTAGTTATGCTTACTTATGACTAGAACAAGAGTACATGGGTTGTATTTGGAAGAAACTAAAGTAAAATAAGTTTGATCATAAAAGAATAATGTTTGAACACCCAATCTATTTAGGACTCATCAGATGAGAAATATCTGAATTTGGATTTACAAAGTGTTTGAAATATTAAATGTCAGGTTGATATCATCATAAAAACAGAGTTGGGCTCTCATAGAATTTAACAGCATAAGTTTAGGTTGAAACTATTTTAAATCTACTTTATGATACTTACAGAGACAGAGATAGGTAATACTTTTGAGCCATAATATAACCGTCTTATTTAATGTAGAAATTGCAAGTTTGACCGGAAAAGAGAACTTAAAGAGACATAATCCTAGGAGGAATAGTTCCCTTCTCATGGTAGCCCACGTTTTCCATATGAAACTCCCAAGACTGGAAAATTCTGCTCCAGGAATTAGCTTATCCAGCTGTCTGTTCTGTATTTGACTGGAGGTCCGATGGGTCTTAGTTGGCCTTTTCAATCGTGACTTAATGGTTGTTCATACTCACAGAGTACTTTATGTTGTTGATTTAGTTGGTCCATCAATGATAGGATTCAGCGAGCACTAGTACAAAATAAGCAGGGTGATAATGAGTACTGAAAACTTTGGCCTTTCAAACCCATGCCAAGCAGCCGTAGTACCTTGGTTATAATAGTAATTTTAGCAGTTAGCCTTATCAAGTACTTTCGGCATGAGCATATCTTGATCAGCTGTTGCTTTCCCCTCAATTGAATTAAAATGGCGCTCTTTAGAACTGAGGTGCGTTGTTTGACCCTTTTGAACAGATAAAAGGCTGGAGATTGTTTTTACGGCTGTAGATACTCAGTATACTATAGTTATTCAAGCCTTGAAATATGTCTAATGGCATCACAACCTTAGGCCCTGTAGAGACTTTCGACTACCTCATGGGCACACCCCTCAACCCAGGCAGCTAAAGGGTGGTCTGGTATATTCAGCTTCTTTAGAACTATCCCTTTTTTAATTCTTAACTAAATTCTTGATGCGTGGGATGGTGATATACGTGTTTGTCCATCACTTGAGTATTCCTGCAGAATCAGAAATATATCTTTCAGGATGTTTGTAAGCTTTTCTTCCTTGTTCTCCTACAGGATGGAAAAGTCTCACAGCTTGAGCATGTATTTATTCGAGGGAGTAAAGTCAGGTAATTGCTTAATTCATCCGATTCTAGCTTTAGGTTGCTAGGAATGTTTTTCATAGATGCTGACATCCTATGTATCAATGTCATGATTTTCATAGGTTCATGGTAATACCAGACATGCTGAAGAACGCTCCAATGTTCAAGCGCCTGGAGTCCAGGATCAAGGTTCCACTTTAGTTGACAAGTAGCAGATTCAGTCAAATAAATAGACGTTTCCTTCTCCCTTACAAATTGCCTCTTAATTCTTGTAGGGTAAAAGCTCAGCACTGGGAGTTGGCAGGGGAAGAGCTGTTGCAATGCGAGCTAGAGTAAGTGCTAGACTTCTTTGCACCTCCAATTCTTGTTTTTGTTCTTGTTCTTGTTCTTCTTCTTCTTCTTCTTGGGGGGCCTTTGGATTTGGAAGGATAGTCATAATACGAGTAGATGCGGTTATTTGGTGTCTATGTTGATGAATGATGTCATATACCGCTGTGATGTCTTGAATGGAATGCATATCTGCATGATGACCTTGTCTAAAAGGTTCACTGCATGAGGGAAGTACTGCAGATGGTTAGTGTATTGGGTTTTGTGTCCTCTCCTCTACTTGCAATCTCAGATATACTTATTGCATGGGCATATGAGTGATCCTAATCATATTACAGGCTCAAGCTGCTGGCAGAGGAGCACCACCGGGTAGAGGGGTTGTTCCACCTGTTCGGAGGTAAACAACCATCCAGACTCCAGACGGTCTCCTGTTCTTGATGTAGAGATGATGTGTCTTGGTTGCAAGTGAAATTTTAGTCGACAAGAGTAAATCCTTGTGTTCGAAATACATTTGGGTTGGGATTTTATCTTAAAGTAAGAGAGATTTTGAATTCATGAGCTATCTCTCTCGTTGATCAAGCTTATTGCTGGGCATTTTCTGTTACTGAATGTTAGGATGGTGGTAGTAGGACCAGATTTTTATCATTTTTCTTGGGTGACTGCGGATTTACTTATCTTAACCAAAATGAATGATCTGTGATCTTTGCAAGTAGAAGGAGAATCTCCAGTATTCCATGATTATGAAGTTAAGCAATTCATTTTCACTTCTCTGTATTCATCAGCAGGGAGGAAAATCAAATGCTGTTATGTTTTGTAGGGTGAGTATAGGACAATGTGTACATGGGTTATGATGAATGTCGGTCGTATAGCAAAAGAAACAAAATTGAGCAATCTGTTTCCCAAATAATTTAGATACAAGGAAAATCAAATGCTGTAAGGCTTGAATGGTGATTGATATGACTTAATGTATCTTTTATATAATAAGTTGTTGATGGCATGAGAAATTAAGGTACGAGTAAGTTAGTGACCGATGAGAGAGGCGTTTGCATTGTAGTCTTGGTGAATGAGAGAGGAAAAGTACTATAACTATTAATGGGCAGCAGATGAGATGATGTAGATGTGTCTATACGAGTGATTGTAAGCAAATTGAGGAAAGTAAATGGCCATGTGTGGTCAAATGCTTTAATAAACGCAGTACCATCCTCCAACTTTAGCGGCGCCTGATCCAACTCATTGGATCTTTGATCAGTTGCCTTCCGTAGCTAATCCAGTGGAGCAAATACCGATTTCATGACTGTAATTAGGGAAACTTTTGTACAAGCGCACATGGATAAACAAAGTGATTGAGAGTTTTTACAGTCTAATGCGATGTTAAACCGAATGCACGTCACGAGGTACAATGTTGTTGGTCCCTGAAGATCATTTAGTATATAGGAGTTGTGTCAGACTCTGTTCTCTCTCTATTGGGGGGAAGGTAATAACACGTATCTTAATATTGGATAATTATTAGATCCACTGTCAGTGTAACAAATTTTTTACACGCTCATCATTGGATGATTAGCATAATTCGAATGTACAGCCCGTGTACCTATGTAGTACCTCAGTTCAATGGTGCATACACCTCACTCGATTCATGCGGCTTTGCTTGAATACTCGAACGGAAAAATACGGTTTATATAACCACAGGGGTCGACATGAAAATATTGCATCATTTTGGCATATTCTTTAAAAGATAATATGTGTTTCGCAATTTTTTTTGCCGTGTGGCAACGGCTAACTTTCCCGAGAGAACGGCTAGTTAGCAATTCTTTAATTTGTGACAGTTTTTGCCAATCTTTTCGTTTATAAATTAAAAGCTACCGATCGCAGTTTGAGGGAGAAAGAGTCCAAGAAAAATCAGATTTGAATCTCCCAGATTTTGCATAAAAGAAGGAAACTCGGCATCATATTTACTCATTTTCTGTTGCCACCCTTCTACAAACTCTCTTTCTCACCTTCTTCATCAGTGACTCACCATCTGAACACCGTTGACAGGACTGGAACCGACAAATTCCCTCATCTGTTGCATCCTCCACCACCAATGCCGCCACCATCCATGTCGGTGCCATAGGCTTATACTATGCAGCAGAAGCCAATGCGCCGCGCGCTCCAAGTTCCTGAAATCAAGGACAAGTGCAAGCATTATCTCATGTCGCGCTTCGGGAGGCACAGCCGCTGCCCGCTGGAGGAAGTCATTGGCCGATTTCAGGTACGACCCAATGAGCTACGAGTTGAACTTTGACGACGGGTCGATGAACAGTTCCCCTTAAGGAGCTTCGCCTCAAGATTGACTCTGCGGAGAAGAGCAACCCTTGATGAAGTCGAATATAATTATGTATGACGATCAATGGCATTGCTCGATTGTCGGTCTTTCATGGTTCCCGGGCCTTCACCGAAGGTGGAGTTGCACATCAACAAATAAAGAGGAACATGCTCGATTGAGATAGATACTGAACAACAAAGAACGCAGTTCAAAGAGGAGGACAGAACTTTTCTCTGTAACTTTGACAGCAACTTGGATGCTGCTTCAATTTATGAACTTTTAGCTACGTACATGTGCAAATCTTTTTCACGAACTAAAGCCAATTACAATCTGTATAAGGAGCATGATTGGAGCTTAAATTGAGGGTGAAGAGCTTCATTTTCTTAAGCAAAAATGATTCAAGCATCAACATCTTCATCGAATCTCTTTATCGGCCCTTGCCCCACCTCTCTCTCCTTCGACTATAGACGACATACTCTCGAAAGATTTAATTCTTTGGAGGAACGGTATCGACCCAATTAATGCATCGATCAACCACTTTTTGAATCAATTTATAAGAATCATCTGATGATGGTAATTTTCATAGTTTGACGGTTGCTTACACGTTGGGCTGGTCGAAACATGGTCGACCAGCTACAGACTCATGCTCTGGCGGCTCTCAGCATATGCTGATCAAATACAGTGAAACTTGAAGCTCCCTACTGACTGATGCTACAAGTAGCAATCACTTCACATGCTGCATATCAGTTCTTTCTTCGGCTATAGTACCGGCAACGGAAGTTCCCATCGGTTGCTTGCCATGCGATAAATTTCTCTCGCATTGAAAACATTTGCTTGATTTCTGTGCTTGTCAAACTCTGTAGCAGAATCGAGGCCTAGCAAGACTGAGACTGGGATTAAAATCTATTTTGGAAACATGAAATGCATGTGATCACTGTGCATCATTTTGTTTACTGAAGCATGTAAGATATTCATTTTGTATGTTGCAGTGGGCATTACTTCGATGATCAACATCTTCTTAACAAATCCTATTTCATCATAACATAAGTGCCTTAACTCCCATGGTTGCGCCGCGAGCTCTTTAACGCAATTTCTTTTGCATATCACGAGGTAATACAAGTGATAATACAAGTGACAAGAATCCCTTTTGTTTTTTGTCACTGCCACTCTTCTCCGAGTACAAAATTTTGGCGAAAATGCTGAGTTTCACATTGAGTCGAACAGCATACGGAATGTACAACGAACATAACCCGATTCAATATGCTGATGGAATTAAGGTAAAGTAGGAGTCAGGGTAGGCTTCGCCACTTTGAGCTCTCCGCAATCACTGATGTAAACAGTCTTGAGAGGCTTATTCCACATTGCGCGAGCATTTTGCGCTCTATCATCGCCAAAAAACTCGGCCAAAGCGTTGAGTTGGCGAATTCTTTCGGCAGGTTTGTATGTAGGAATGGAAGCGATTGCTGTTACGACATCCAAGCCTGGAACTCAAACGTAACCAAGATGTGAACAACATGAGAGAAGGATAACATACAGAGGAACATTCTAAGTGTTCTGTCATATAACAGTAAGCATGTAAAATGCAAGGAAGGAGTCAAAATTTCGTTCAAACAAATTCTGGACAATTGTCTTCAAGAATTAAAAGAATTACTTTGAACCATGATGACCTTTTTCTTTTTGAAGTAATTGATCAGTTTAATAAACCATGCGATTTGAATTGTCTGCATTTTGCAGTTGATAAGACTGCGAGTGCCATAGAGAAAATGAAAGATCGGACAGGAAAATATATACTCAGCCCCCAAAGGTTGTCTATGAATAAAATGTCAACATCGCTGCAATTTTCGGAGTTCAATTTCGCTGAATTCACAGATTATATCTTGGGGAATAGCAACTCTACTGTTGAACGACTTCTATGTCGGAGACTCATGCCATGTCGAATCAAGTGTTCGTAATGAATTTGAGAATGCCACTTTGATTGGATAATAGTTGTATACTAGAGGATGATTACCCAAAGACAAGTACTTTCAGTATCAGGATTTGAAAAACAGATGACATCTAGGGCACTTGTTTAAATGACCCAGAAAGCAAGTTCACTGTGTGACAGTGTGAAGATTATAATCAAGGGATCCAACTGTACTGAGAATGAAAAATTGCAATGCAATGACAGAAGAGAGTGACTTCTACTTGGTGAACAAGACCAGCATCAATAGCAGCAACATGAACAATTCACAAGAATCTCAAGGATTGATAATGCAAATGCCCAGATCAGCATAAAGAATGTGATCTACTCATGTTATGTCAGATCAAGAATGTATTGGTAATGTCCAATCTGGCGGCGACATTGTTCAGCTAAATGCAAATGCTCATAACATATGGTGAGACTCTTAACATTCTTGGGAAGTACATATTCTACGCTTTAAGTAACAGTTTCAGCATTTCTCATAGATTGGAATCCATTCACACGCCACAAAATCGAACTCTAGCATTCATATACCAAACATGAACAATCAAGAAAATATCATTGCATATCACATAACAATCACCACATGGACTCACTCACCTTCAAGCACTGTGCCAAACACAATGTTCTTGCTATCCAATTGGGGACACGGACCAGGCCCTGTGGTGATCAAGAACTCCACGTTCCTGTACTCGGGGTCCATCTTGATATTGTCGTCGTCGTCGTTCTCCGACAAGCTCAGCGAGACCAACCCGGCCCTCGAGTGCCGGAGGAGGAAGGCCCGCGAGTCCACCGTCTCGGTGTTGCGCGCCAGCTCCGACAGCGGTGGCCTCACCTCGCCCTTGTCCCGCCGGCCCTGCCGGCCGGCGAGGAAGTACTGGCCGGGGAGGATCTTGTTGACGAGGGTGTTGCGGTAGGAGCTGCTGGGGGCGGTGCACATGGACTTGAAGTTGGCGACGGTGAGGGGGACGAGGTGGCCGTAGAGGCCGAGGACGAGGCGGCCGAGGGGGACGGAGTCGGCGCAGAGGGAGGCGAGGTCATCGGAGATGGCGCGGTCGGGGCGGAAGTAGTTGGGGCAGATGGAGAAGTCCATGAACACGCGGTCGGTGATGGTGGTGTCGGGCGGTGGCGGGGGAAGGGGGAGGGAGGCGGCCGGGAGGGAGAGGGAGGTGGCGGTGGCGGTGGTGGCGGTGGAGAGGAGGAAGGAGCGGCGGGTGAGGTGGAGAGGCGGGTGGGGGCGGGGAAGAGGAGGGGTGGTGGGGAAGGATTTGATCATGGAGGTGGTGATGAGTCGATGGAGTTGGACATTGTTTTCATTTTGGTTGGAGGAGAGGAGGATAATAGATTTGGTTGTCAGGGAGAAAGGAAAGTGGGGCCTTTAAAGTTTATTAAATATCTTATTGGGTGACGAAGAATAGTGCAATGCCACTGTTTTTACTGTTATAGGTTGGTCAGGTTAGCTATTTGACCATGGAAAAGTCAAACTAAACTACTCTTTACTCATCAACATCATGGGATTAAAAAGGGGTAGAAGGCTAGGACAAAAAGTTAATGTGCATTTGGTTCCTGATTTCAAACGTACCATTATTGAGATGATTTTCACTGTATAAAGCATTATACTTCATGAGAAAATAATACACTAAAGGAAGTGGTAAATGAAAAGACCTTTATATTACAAAAGCTTTCAATTTCTTGACTTTAATATCTCCAAAAATTTGCTCGTGATTTTGATAGACATCTTCGGATTCTTCTCTCTTTGTTCTGTCTTTCGTTATTATCTTCTTGATAGCCACATCGATTGATAAATCGGTGCCTTCAATATTCGCCATCTTCGATAATCCAAAACTAAATGCGTACTTTCTTTTGCATGGGCACGATTTATCAATTAATCTTAAGATATGTTTGTTTGGGAAAAATTTCATGATAAAAGAAAATGCTTTCCAGGAAATCATTTTTCAAGAAAATATTTTTTCCTTTTCAAGTTAGGGAATTCATTTTCTTAAGTTCAAGCATCCATATTTTATTTGACCGTAAATGATTTTCTATTAACTGATTATTTTCAGCAAATCAAATGCGTAAAAGCCTAGAATACATTCGGTTAAATTTTTTTTCACTCAAACAGGCTCACCCTTAATTTAAAAGGAAATGAAGGAGTGGAATGAGTTTTAGGAGTCACTCGAGTCGAATGGAGGAATCGAATGTTAAAAGGTCATTTGTTTTGTTTTTACCTGAACAACCATTATATTTTATATGAGTGTGAAAAAATGCATCAAGAACGCATATTTCTCTGGTGTCAAATATCCTTGGAAACTGTCGATGCTACTTTATTTTCAATTCCTTCTTTGATAAACTCTTGTCTAATGCCATATATGCTTAGGAAAAGCCACTTAAAGAAAGCACTCACATCCAACAATAAGACTAAGGAAGACAATTTGGGTCAAATATAACTAAAAGTTTGATACAATCACCACTGGGACCAAATTAATTATTTGTGTCGAAATGGGTCATAATCCATTCTGCCACCTCTACCTCTAACCTGACGAATCTATTACAATTAACGTCCAGGAACCAACAATTCCGATCACGATCAAGCGATTTTTACTTGACGCTATCCTTTCCATCGCTTGGTTGCTAATGATAACAGTTTAGCCACCCCAGCTTATGTTACAAATTACAATCGATTTGGACGATAGCCAAACTTGCTGCAGAATAATCATGAGGCACTACCCAAAACCATCCTTTATTGCTCTCTTCCGTTTTGCATAATGTATTTTTATTACGACTTTGCATCTCAAATCCTAAAACTTACATCTTATTAGAATACCCTCTCTTAAAAAATAGTTCAAAAATACATTAACCCCTCAAATTGCCCGCAAACCCTAAAGCCAAACTCTTACGTAAGTTTCTCTATCAACCTTCGTTATGGACTCTGTGCAATGACATACATGAGACATCGGTCAAGTTTCATTTCATGTACACAAGTTTGTCCTCTTCGACATGTCTTATCGGCCGGTTCTGGTGGCTGATAATGCTATGTTTCCCGATCCTTGGTTGTTTGTCTTTTGCTTCCCCGTTATGCACACAAACTATGTAGAAAGTAGGCATGGGTAACCTTTGAACAAGCGAAAATGAAGTACTGATCAAAACTAATTAAGCATGCACAAGTATCAAAATATTTACATGGCTTGCCGCTGGAAACGATGTGTTGTCTATACAAGGCCTGTTTGTAGAATTTGAATACATATTCAAACATTTGCAAAATATATATCAAGTTACACACTTCACAGCCCTTTGACTTGAGATGGAGAGCAAATGATCATATATTGCCGTTTCCTCATGCAAACGCCCATGGTTGATAACATCATTTAAGTTGAGAGAGGTGGGGTTTTACCTAGACACCTCCTCTTTTGCTTCCTTAGAATTAAAGCGACCAGAGAAAAGGTACAAACAACAGGTTTTCCACACACTAGAACAAAGACCAATAATGCTTAGCAACGCTAAAACGGGTTTACAAAATTAGTTTATCAAGTAATATGACAAACTTATTTATATATATAAACATGCAGTTCCCACTTAAATATCTGGCGAGAATTTGCGATTTCACCTTTTAAACTAATTCTGTAAACTATTTCTAGTATCTCTGGCATAATTTAAAAAGATGGTCATATATTGAGTTCGACAAAAAAAAATGGTCATGTACTGAGTGAAAAATAATCTCATTCACCACGACTAAGCATATTGTACAGAGGCCCCTCATCCTGTTGTATCCTCTGTCCTTGTGAAAGAAGACATGCTATCGACCGAGAGAAGAGAAGATCGAGAAGAGGCATGGGAAGACGAGAGGGACAACAAGCAATCCGAGCACAACTCCTTCCTTGGGAAAGACACCTTGCGGCTGTTCGGGCAAGCATCAGGGCAACTGCCGCGGCCTTTGACCTTGTGTAGAGCGCAACCACAGTTCCGGTGGTACGGGCGGCGCTCGATCTCCACGTCATTGAGCGACAAGCTGCCATGAATGGCGCACCAGAGCAACACCTGGGAAGCTGCCACAGTGGCCATCCTCTCTCCCTTTCCCTCTCCCTCTCCCTCTCCCTCTCTCTCTCTCTCTCTCTCTCTCCCCCCTTAGGTGTGTCCCGGTAAGTAGGTGAGGGTATGCTCGTGCCGGAGAATTTACAGTGTATAGTTGATTAGGTGTCTATTGTTGGTTTGGAAAATTGTGCGGGCTTTATTGGGGTAGTTACATATAGATAGTAATACAAGTCATAGGAACGTGAAGTGTAGGGAGTTTGTCTCCTTGGTTGGATGAATTGGAGAAAACAATGTGATTTTCGAGACGTGTTTGAGCAAAATGTGATAACCAAAACGTGTTTTCATGAGGAACGTCACTCTCTCTCTATCTCGGGCAGTCTTGAATGTGAAGCTTCCTAGGGAGAGAGAGAGTGAGACAAGAGTTCTTGGCTTTAACTTAGAGGTTTCGAATTAGGATTTTGGTCATTTGCTGTCTAGACAAGTCAGTTAAGACAGAGAGAAAGAGAGAGAGAGAGAGAATTCGTTAAGCTGAATCTTTCTAACTAAACTTTTCTTGTTGTAGTGGTACATCGACGATGCTGTCTAGGGCAACTAGGATCTTGATCAAAACGTTACGTGCCGCCTCTGTTTTCTTCCTTTGAGCCTCTATATTTTGTCCGTCAACCTGAATTTCATATGCTAAAGTTTGGAAATATTGTGGTTCCCCTTCTAAACTTCCGAATATACCTGTTTTTTCTAACCATGATCAAAGAAAATCATGCACCTAAAATCATAAATAATGATATTTAAATTATCTGAAATCTCTTTTTTTGATTTGAAATTGTTACTTCCATCTAGCATGCTTAGTTATATCTAGCAAACTAAAAACCCCCGAAAATGCCGAGCTTTGATCTATACATTTATGACCTATTCAAATCGGGTTGACCTTTTTCATTTCGAAAAATCGGTCATATTTGAAGTATGGAAATGTTTACAAGATAATATCTTTAACATGCAAAAAAATGGAAATTTTATAAATTGCTCGCAAACCTACGATAATTTTTAAATAACTGCAAAACTAGTATGCTCGACAGGCTGTGATAAAAGAACAAATAGAAATTTGAAAACGCTTGTTGACGTGTAATTTTGTCTTTTCATATTTATGGAAGTATATATGTTGTTTGTTTATACAATTTTTCGAATTGATTAACAAATGTCATCATCGGGAATTTGTTATAGGTTTACTCATGTTATCATTGCTCAATGCAAGAATGACTTGGTATAGGTGACATGATCTTTTGTTATTTTTGTTCGTTTGAGATGTTTTAGAGAGTTTTGACTTAATAGACTCGAAATGCGACTCGTTAGAGATGGTTAGTCTACAAACTGACTCGTTACAGGTTTACTCATGTTAGCATGGCTCAATGCAAGAATGACCTGGGATAGGTGACATGATCTTATGTTATTTTGTTCGTTTATAGGTGACATGATCTTATGTTATTTTTGTTTGTTTAAGATGTTTTAGAGAGTTTTGACCTAATGGACTAGAAACACGACTCGTTAGGGATGATCAGTCTACAAATTGACTCGTTATAGGTTTACTCATGCTAGCATTGCTCAATGCAACAATGACTTGGGATAGGTGACATGATCTTATGTTATTTTTGTTCGTTTGAGATGTTTTAGAGAGTTTTGATTTAATGGACTCGAAACGCGACTCATTAGGGATGGTCGGTCTACAAATTGACCCTTTCTAGTGGGTTTAGCGTCGGTCCTTGTCCTCCTGACATGTGACAGCCCACTATTGGCCGTTGTCCCCCTGATACATGGCTACCTATCTACCGTCGATTCCTTACGCTAGGATTGCCTCATGGAATAATCCTATAAACCAATCTTTTTTATCCACTCCCTATAAATGCTCCCGCATTTTACTCATTTAACATGACTTTTGGACTTTTGAACTGCTAGACTTTAGCACCCCTGTTGACCTTGGCATATTCAAATTTTGGGGGACTTCGGCAGCGAACCATTGAGAAATTCTCCACAATAAGCGACTCGACATGTGTTGCCTGTCAATTTGGAATCCAATTCGGGATTTTCCTTAGGAGGTATCGAGAAGGAATTGGAATGTAATAATATTGATTCATACAGATACATAAGAAAAGGTTCTCTATTGATTCAAAAGCTGTACCTACGGGATAGGGATAGAGAAAGAGGAAAAAACTGAAGATTTCACTCACATAGTACTTTGGATCGAAAAATCAAATTTTTAATGGGTCAGAT